TCCAGGACTGCTGCTGGCCAAGGCTGAGCCAACCAGAGATGGTGATAATTCCTCTGTGATAACAGGTTTAAAAGAAAAAAGTTATTGTTCAGATTTAGTTGTGCTCAGAGAAGAGCAGGGTGAGAGGTATATGTGAAAACAACTCTGTAGACACCAAGGTCAGTGCAGAAGGAGGGGCAGGAGGTGCTCCAGGTGTGGAGCTGAGATTCCCCCGCAGCCTGTGGTGCAGACCATGGGAAAGCAGCTGTGCCCCTGCAGCCCATGCAAGTCCACGGGAGTGCAGAGATCCCTCTGTAGCCCCGGGGGGATACCCACACCAGGGCAGGTGGATGCCTGAGAGGAGGCTGTGACCCTGTGGGTAGACTGTGCCGGAGCAGGGTCCTGGCAGGGAGCTGCAGACCCATGGAGAGAGGAGCCCAAACTGGAGCAGGTTTCCTGGAAGGACTTATGACCCTGTGGGGGACCCACACTGGAGCAGGCTGTTCTTGAAGGACTGCACCCCATGGAAAAGTAACCCATGTTGGGGCAGTTCATGAAGAACTGTATCCCATGGGAAGCACTCAGGCTGGAGAAGTTTGTGGAGCTCCTGTGGGAGCAGCCCCACAGTAGAGCAGGGGAAGGACTTCTCCCTGAACAGTGGCAGGAACAACCTGAGATGAATTGACTGTACCCTCCATTCCCTGTCTGTTTGCACCACTTTGGGGGAGGAGGTAAAGCCCAGGAAGGAGAGAAGGGAGTGGGGGAGGTAATTTTAAGACTTGCTTTGCTTCTTATTATCCTGCTCTGATTCTGATCGGTAATAAATTCAGCTAATATCCCCAAGTCGAGTTTGTTCTGCCTGTGACAGGAATTGGTGAGTGATGTCTCTCCCTGTCCTTATCTCAATTCATGAACCTTTTGTTATATTTTCTCTCCCCCGCCCAGTTGTAGAGGGGAGTGACACAGCAGCTGTGGTGGGGATCTGGCATCCAGCCATGGTCAATCCACCACAAAAAGCATAGTGAAAAAACAATTTGCTGGTGAGAGACCAATAACAGGGTTGCAGTACGACTGTCTTGTATCTGCCAGCTAAAGCCAGGACATGCTGTAGTGACACACATGCAGTGGAGTTGGGCAAAATCTGCAATAGCTGTAGTACGCACACCGTTAACAAATCTGAGCAATTGAAAAAAAAAAAAAAAAAACAACCAATCTAGGCAACATACATCTTAGATTCTAAGGTGATTCACACCTATGAGGAGATTTCACTCAATTCATCCAAAATTCACTCCAACATCAATTTTGTCTTTGCTACAAATCCCACGAAGAAAACACAGATCAGCACTGATTGTGGCTAACATACTACAAGTGCTGCTAAAGAAACTGCGTGACTCAGGGAAAAAAATGCTCTTTCCAATTTTCCTGTGCTCCTGTGAAAATCAAAGACATAGCACATCCACCAATGTGATTAAGGATGAATATCCCTGGCCTTCTCCAGACCTTACATACATATTGAAATGTACTGCTTGCTCTTTCACCCATTTCCTTCTGCAGGCTTGAGAAAAATTCCTTATACTACACTGTCATCCCATGTAGCTATGAAGGATAATTTTTTATGGCTCCCTTAAAATAACATTTTTAAAGATTTAGAATCTTAAGTTAGTTTTCTGCAGAACAGCTACTCTCTAAGGAATTCCAGTAGAGCAGAAAAAAAGTTCTGAATAAATCAGGAAAAAAAGACAGTTAATTATTGCAGTGCTGTTAGTCCCATGGGCATTTCTGTGGCAGTCATATGTTGAAAGTACCAGCATATGTGCCTGCAATCTTGAAGTATGCTCTACATTTCAGCAATTACATTTACTGCAATAGGACACAAGGGAATGAAATGAAGTTGTGCTAAGGTTCCTCACTGGAACTGTCTCCCCAAGCAAGTGATCACAGCATCAAGCCATCTAAGTTTAAGGAGTATCTGGATGATGCTCTTGGTCATATGGTTTGAGTTTAGGAAGTCCTGTGAGGAGTAGGGACTTAGGCTCAATCCTTACATGTCCTTTCAAAATGACATACACTATGATTCTGATTTCCTTTAATAGATACCTTATCTCTGTAGTAGTTCTTGTAAAAAAACCCCACTGAAGTCCCTATTCAGCATATTCACCCCCTTCAGTACGATTAGTTAAAGACACTTTTTACTAGTCTGTGAGATAAATGTCTATAAAACCACAATACATTTGTATATTTATAATACGACTTGGTAGACTTTGATGTCTTTTTTTTTTCCCTAAGGTGTGTGATACTTTTTCTACAGCATCAAATCCTGGGAGCTTGTCATTGGGGCAAAAATTTTAAAATACTTGAAAACATTTATAGAGAAGTTTGTTAGACCTCATGGATGAAAAAGCAATCTGTAAACATACTTCAAATACACCCTGAAGGTTTAAAGATTGACCATTATTTTATTTTGGGAGTGTTGAATCATGATTTTCAATACTTTGAGCTGGCAGCTGCAAGACACTTGCAAACTGAAATACTAATTTAATGAATAGCCTATAGAAATATTCAGACTACCATAAGAAATTTTTCGAGCTTGAATCATACCATAAACTTTGCAGAGATAAAAAAGATCTGAAAAATACTGCTGAGGCACCAGGAACTATAAATTCTTAAAACCTCTTAATTCTTATAATAGGAAGGGCAAGGGGTGGGGAGGATTTATGTTTGTTTATTTGTTTGTTTTAGAAAACCTAACTGCAGTCTCCCAGAGTTTAAAGTGGTGATTAATTTAAAGTCAAGAATAGTCTTACTTGATTGAAGTAGTTAATGTTCGTGGTTTTTTGCATTAAAGAATATTTGAGATGATAAATAATAGGATATCGGGTGAAAAACATGAGAAATTATATAGTTAATATATTTTATTTCTTGTTTCAAAATTTTCCTGCAGTAAAGATATAACATCTTGAGGAGAAAGTGTTTGTCTAGTTTCAAAGACTACCACATTTTTTTATCCGCTGAACTTTAGTGCTAGTAAACACTTATACTGGCTTTTGGCTGTACTCAAATATTTTGCTAAATATATCAGCTTCATCCTTTAAACCCTCTAATGGCAGAGTGATAAAATAAAATATACTTTTATGTAATTAACCTTTTGTTCAGATGTGAGTTTATGTGGGAAAAAACGTGAGGAAATTGCTGCCACACTTGTACGACTCTTTCATCTGAATGAAGAAAAGAGATGTGGCCAAAAAAAGCTGCTTAGAATATTTAATATGTCCCACATATATTTTTTTCAGTCCATGAATCCATGTATTATAATAAACCATATACTGCACTGAGTTTAAAGTGAACTGCAGTCACATAAACAGGAAGACAATACATTTGAGTTTAGCACATCATAATTAACCTTTTATTTTTAAAGTGACTAGACTGACCTTTTAGAAGAGAAACTGTAATAACCACTTCCCTCTAGAACCTCTTCAATTAGAGTCTACAACATAAAAGAACTTAATTTCAGTTCATTAAGAGTAATAATTGAATACATATAGGTAAATATACAGCTTACCTGCAACTGCTCATTTGTCATCCCTTCTGCCATGCCAGAAGTGCCAAGAATGCCTTAAAGTAAAAGGCAAGTAATATTATATTACTGAATTTAGGATTTATGCTCTCTTATCAGTTTCTTAGCAATTCCACTTCAAACATGATGATAAGACAGATGCTTCATGATCAGTAACTCCCACGCAAAGACCCCCTGAAAAGGTGAGGTCATTTTATGGCACAATATGAACGTTTGATGCACACATATTGTGGAAGTATTCTAACCAATGAAAAATAATTTAAAGACTTCATGTAACAGAACTCAAAAATGCAACTTTCTTATTTTTTCCCTCATACAGTGGAAATTTACAGTGGAAAAGGCACACAGCCAGCAGCAATTTTTGAGGACAAAAGTATTATCTACAGGTTAAGAGATTCAAAAATTACAGATAATGAGCATCTCAACAAATTGCATTATTGTCTCCAGGCACAAAATAATTCCCATATTTAGAGTGACTTTTAGGGACTCATTTCCTACTCAAACATCACCCTTGACACCTAGTATTAATTTTGGTTTTTGCAATAAGCTGTGGAACAGATATGCTATTTTCAACACAAAGGCCATCAAAAATAAAGTTTCTCAATCCTTTTTTCTGGTGCAACAGATTTTAATGTTACTATATCCTCTAGTCCATGGATTGTAACACAGGTTTTTCTGTATTTAGAAGGATGTAAATGGCACAATTACCAAAATACAGGCTGCACATTTCCCTTATGTCCATAGCACAAAAAAAAAAAAGTGATGAAAAAAGTTTCTGAACCAGGAATTGTAGTTCTCCATCCCGGGTGATGCCACAGCTTGCAGGTTATACATTTATGTGTTTATGATGTGTCTCGCTGAGTATCACTAGTCCAAAGTAGAATTGACACATATATTGATATATTTTCAGAAGTATATATACATATATATGTGTGTATGTGTGTGTGAGTGGTTTTCCCTCCTCAAGTTTGTATGGTTTGATCTAGCTATGTAATTAAATCAACCCATTACAACTGTTCCAAACGTGACAAAAGAACAACATAAGGGTTTAAACAGAGTTGGTTTAAAAATCATGCTCAAGGACAAGTAAATCCTAAGTATGACATTTTCAGTTACAAACATTTCTATTAATTTTCATGGATTAACCATATATTATTTGCATATTTGATATTTCTTTATAATTTCAAAGTGTCCTCTCTTCAATCAGTAGAAAGTTCCAGCAGTGTTGAACTGTATATCTTACCAGGAATTAAACAAAACAAAACCCAACTAACCAACAACCCCAAAGCAAAAACAAACAAACAAATGCCCCAGAAAATCAGTGTGGTCAAAATAACTTTACTTCTTTTAAAGACTGATCTTGGAGTAGCAATTCCTTCTGCTTTGATACCACACACTTTATTAGAAATATATATGCCACTACAGAAGTTTATGATGCTTTGTTTACCTTTTCTGTCATCTAGAAGCAACATATTTCCACCTGAAATAAGATGTACCCGATGCCAATCTGCTGTGAAGATACTGGGTTCAATCAATCCAAGAGAACCTGGCAGCAGCTAGGGAAAAAAAAAGAGACCAAAAAAATAAAGACACCTGAAAAGTCCATCATTCCCATTTGCAAAAACTTCAGACTTCTAGGAGGCAGTTTACACTTTCTTATGTTTCCCAGTGCAATCAGAAGTCAAAAGAAATTTCAGTATTTCTTAGATTAATGAAAATGTGGTGAACACAATTAACATCCTATCTTTTTCTCTCCAGAAACAATGAACATTGCAAGCTGCACTTAGTATAAAGCACTGAATTTTTCAGATGATCTGAATGAAATGTCACAAACTATACATTTGTGTGAAAATAAACAGGAAAGCGTATTCTCTTGAACCTGTGAGAGAAGCAGCTGATGACTGTTTTTTAAAATTGGCTTTAAGTGAAATTGTTAGCCAATATTCAAGTGGTATAATTCCCATTAGAGGGATCCCAGCACGTTTGAAATCTGAAAGTCAGTCCAGCTACTTAATTATATGAGTAATGATACTGACTTTAAACTTAAAAACATCTAGTTTTGAAAATATCCACTGGTAGCAACTCTGACAGGACCACTTTCGTATACAGGAGAGAAATCACAGTTATGCATTTCTGCAGCATGATAACACTTTCATGGTTACAGAAACAGAAGAATCTCTCTTGTTGGAAGACCTTTACCCCACTACTGATCAGTGGAGGAATCTTTCTGTCTGTAATTCTTACTAGGTTTTCTAATTTGGCATAGTTAAAAACCCATTATTTTTAAATTTTATTTCCAGAAATTGCACAACATTATAACAACATACTTTTCTCTATTTAAGTTCCTCCCATTGCCTCCAGATGATATCCAAATGATATTTCCTTCAAGGTAGAATGCCCAGAACTGCATTCAACATTTCAAACATTTTCAATGTACTACCATTTACTTTTTAAATAAAGTATTTCTTCCCTTTTCTACAGGTTTAAATCTAATGGTTTTGAAGCTAATACAATTTTACAGTTGATAATATTTACAAATAACTTATTTTATTTCAAAACACCTGAAAATTAGGTAAATTTTATTATAAACACTTTCTTTTTCTTACCATATTTTTGGGCATCCTTTTCTGAAAACATCAACTCAATACACAATGAGCAGGTACCTCTTAGATTTAATGTTATGGCTGAAATGCGGGAATTTTTTATGTAAATCCCAACTTGCTTTACAGGACAGCATGAAACTGATAGCTCAGAAAGAAGCATCTTTAACTACCTTTCTAATGTACTACCAATGTGCCACCTTCCAGGAAGTTTTAGCACCTCAGGTTAATTATTACAAAAGCAAAGGAAGGATCTGGCATTTGAGGTCCGTCTCTTTTGTAACAAACAATGACACAGAAGATTCCATAATTCAGTGGAAGTAGCTGATAATCAAATTAAGCTACAGAGGAGAATTATGTGAATGATAATAAGTCACCTTAGACATCAAATTTTAGGTACAATAATATATCTAATAACTGCTTTATCATCAATTCATAAATCAAATATCTTAACTTCAGTCTCCCACAATACACAGATGCCAAGGAAGTAAATTTCAAATACTTTGCTGATTACAGACCTCTCAGGAGATTTTGAAGGAACATTTGGAAATTCTGGCATTAGTCATTAGATCTTTCTCTGTTGGAGAGCATCCAGCAGGTCACTGGAAAACATGCAAGCATGTTTCTCCAGTCAGGCCGTTCTTACAAATCTGCAGTACTTTTAAATTGATGACATTAAAACGTTGTTGACACACTGCAACAACAGGACAAGGCATGTTATATTCAAGGTACTCTGGGACACTGCTTTCTTAGGATTAATGGTTTGAGTAGGAGTACAGTACAAGATATGAAAAACATTAAGGAGCTATTAACATATCAAGAAGAGCTTGCATAAATTAAGAGCTTGCATTAAGAGCCTGCTCTGGTTACACTGCCCTTCCTCTTGTCTTTTTGAACTCTGATGAGATAAGGTCTGGTTTTGTGCGTTAGGAGCTAGCAGGACCTTTCCATTTGCAGAAGGAGTTCCAATGACAAGATATAAACTTGAATCCAACCTGCAGAAGCTTCTTACTTAAGGAGACTCCATATTTACCAAATATAGGACAGCTAGAGAATATTCTAAACATTTCCTTTTGAAAGTGGACTCTTACATTTATATTTTTGTGATATTACTATCAATAGCATGATTGAAGAGAGAGACAAACTTGACCACAAGTAGTAAATTGTGTACCACACCTTTTTGATTTCTTATTTCAGTTTCTAAGGATTGCTCTGCTGACTGAAGAGGGACATCTTGAATCTGTCAACAATTCTCTTTTTCAAATTGCGTCGCAAAGCTGGAGAAAGCTACATGATACAAAGAAATACACTTTCACCATTCAGTTACACCTGCCACAAAAATTACCTATTCAGAAATGCCATTATTGAGAAATGTAGCTAAAAAGAAACATTGATTGCTAATGGCATGGTGACAAACAACTGTATAAGATTTTATTTAATGGCATATTATAATAAGGCTTCTTTGTTTGCCCATTCTGTGAGGCTTAGCTTACCATGTAACTCAGTTCCTCTAGTCTTGAAGGTAAAAATTTTTATAGACTAACAGTAGTAAATACCAGATCTGCCTCCCTGATCAAAGTGCTAGTGGTTTGGGACATTTTTCTACAGATGAAGCACATAGAACATTACACTAGATTTCATGTTGGCTATAATGAGTCGCTTCATCTGAAATTAATGGAATATCAAGAAGCTTAGACCTTCGTTCAGTATGCATAGAATGGCTTCAGTGGCCTCTTCTAAGGTCTTTATGGGTCTTAATACAATTCAGAGCATCTCTTTTGCTGCAAGCTTCCTGAAGGAAATTTACCTTTCATTTGTTTATAAAGCATAACTGATTTTATATAGTGTTTCCTCCTGTATCTTTCTGGTTGAAAAAGAACACATCTTTCATCTATATTTACAAAAAAAACCCAACCAAACAAAAACCCCACAAATCGTATTCTATGGTTCTTAAAGTCTTCAGTAGAGAATTCAAAGGATGTATTTTCCTTTAAAATAATTTTTATGCTCCAAGAGTAAATGTACAGTTTCAGCTGTTGGTCACTGCAATAACACCAACCCAGTCTGACAACCATCCTATTGAATTTATTATCTTTTGGATCCTTTTGAATTTATTATCTTCTATGCTGTTTCCGTATAGTTGTTTTTACTTGCAGGCACTGTTTGAAAAACTATGGTCTTCTCCCATTTAGCATATACTTTATAATAATTTCATTGATGTAAATTCATGAAGTACCACTCGACTGAATTCAGGAACCTTTTTGACTACCTAGGAAGTGTTTGACCACTAATGATTCACATTCAAACAGTGACATAGGACATATTATAAAGACATTTATCCTACTGGAAAAAAATATTGCTCTTAGACACCTATAAATCCAGAATGGTTTTATTGGCCTCACAGGAGTCCTGATTTGCTCTGACAAACCAAGGATCAAAGATTTTTTTTTTTTTTACAGACAGGTACTACTCTTTTTTCATGCAGATAAGGCCTTACACATATGCTTTAAGTCAGAAATTGAATGTTCCTTAGCCTGTAAGAGAGTTAAAAAATAATGCCTTAGGAAAGGTTGACAACATATTCTACGGATTACATACCACTGCAATCAACTGTGTGTAGTTAATGTACCATGGGGATACCGGGATATTCTGAAGCAGAAATGGTAAAGAACAAGTCCAGTGCTTGAGAAACTTGGGGTTGCCTGGGGCAGTAGTGTTCAATTTTAGCTTTTGTTTTAATGAAATCAGTTGTCAGATCAGTTAAAAAAAAAAAAAAAAAAAAAAAGCCAAGGATTTACATAATGCTTTTTAAAAAGCTTTCTCTTACATTGTTTTCCAGAGATCACTCTGATTCTTGTTCCCATGGAAACAGGGAAGGCTGCTGGCAGCCAAGAACTAACGGGCAAGAACTCTTCCTTGCAAACTTCAGTTTAGAACTGTCAGCTGGAATATGTAACAGTTTGAGAAAACAGCTATGTATTATAAAAAATGCTCGACCTTAGATTTGTAAGAACATAAACAAGTGCAAGGGAGGCATGTGGAACATACTAAACAAGTACAGGTATGGATTCTGGTTTCTCTGAAATCAGAGAGAAGCTGTTGCTACTGCTTCAGTGGTCAATTCTGAGCCAGTTTTTGAGTTGCTGTTAGTTCTCAGTTCGTGAGCATACACATTACAATAACTCGTATTAATTAGTAAGCCACTTGAGAAAACCTTCAACAGAGGGGATAGGCTTACTAATGAGCACCTTGGACATACTCCTACTATACCATGTAAAAATTGAACAGCCTCATTTCTGTTGATAAGAGAAGGATATAATTTCCAATTATTTTAAATAATGTTTGTCTCCTTTGTCTCTGATAATTTAAGTCTTGTACTACCTGTTTGATAAGATCGACAAGTAAAAAGAAAAGAGAAACCAAAAGAGAGACATGTAGAGCACACCCAAGTTCAGTTATGTTTTTCTATTCTAAACAAAATGAAACAAATTTAGCTGATCAATCTCAAAAGCCCTGAGGTGATAAACATCACATCCCAAATGTAAATACTGCATTTTGGAAAATAAAAAGCTGTTTATTTTTGGAAAAAGAAAGCTGTTTATCTAATAGCAATTTTTTCCAATAGCTGCATGGTAGCCATCTTTCTGCAGAATAAAGATGTTTCAATCACATTTTTAGGTGAGAGTTTTTATAAGCTCAGCTTCATTTTTGCTTGGGAATCACATGAAATAAGTTCAACTCTCTCTTACTATGAAACAGTTGAACTTAATTTTAAAACAAGTCTTACATTTGAAAAATATCTGACATTTCAAAATAGTTAACATATTCAGAATTTCATCTATTGCACTAAAACTCCCAAGGGCGTATTACTATCTACTGGCAATTAAAATATAACTTAAAATTTATTTTAAAACTATTACTATGGAGGAAAGCATGTTATTAACTCTCCATGTCAGTATATGATAGTCACCTTAAGTAGTTATATTGCTGGTATGACAGAATGTTGTAAAAATACTTTACTGTACAATCCATTTTTCTGAGGTGAGCCACAGCTTTTTTTTTTTTATATGACTCAATTATTGCCATCCTCCACATACTAATATTCAAAGTTAGTCTTTATTTTAATGATATATTTTTAAAGCATCCTGCCATCTGCAAAAATGTCAAGTTCTGTTGTTTTTAAAGAACAGTAACTAAATTAGCAGCACTTTGCAGTAACATCATTTTGACAACAGCAAATGACTAAAAAGAACAGAATGTCAGAAGCAACAGCAATGCATACTTGAGTGATGAAGATAATTTTGTGCAGCTGAATAAGAATCTGCTGAACAGGGTCACTGATCTAATTCACCTTCCTTTGTGATACAGCAATTCTTGCCAAAGCTGTAATGACAAGAGTAAAATCAGGAGGGCAGCTCATTTTGTTACTGTAGTACATTAGTAGCTTACAGTGTTTTAAACTCCTAGATGCAAATACCAAGTTGAAATGCTTGACTTGTTTTCTCAATAATGGTGGGAACAAAAAAAGGATAATCTAAAACGTTAAAAATTTAGACAATGCAAGTGACAATGTGTTTCAAAAGAAAATCCCTTTCTCTGAATCACTAAATTACTCTATGTGAAAAGCAGTATAAATGTACCTCAACAATTGTTAAAATTTTGTCACATTTATTCAAAGGGATAAATGTATAGTAAACATAATTCTCTTAACTGATTTTTTTTTTACATAGCCTAATACAGTATTTTTTATGCATTTTGATGTTATGAAATTTCTTTTCATTCTACCCTAAGGATTATAATAGTATGTTTGACGTGGACCATTTCAATGAGGTAAATCTATTGTTTAGGATTTTTAATCTTGTGTATTAAAATCATACACATTGTCAGGTCCACAGATTAAATAAAATATTATCAGCAGACTTCCACTGCAAAACACTTAGTGTTTCACTAAAGAACATTAGTTTACAAAGTAGTCTTTCCAAGACCTGGAAGCTAAGCAAAGAACTTTAGCTGAAGTATTGAACTTCAGTCAGCAGTCCTGCACCTCTCTTAAATACAATTATCTCTAAACTACACTTGAGAGGCTAATTTAGATATTCTAACATTTGCTTATCGGTGTCAAGGGTGGTCTCCAACAATCCTTTTTAGGGTTCTCAGATATTCAGGGTATAAGTGGCAAAATAAAAGAAGAGCAGTGCAACAACCACAGCTTAGTAACATAAAACACTTTAAGAACAGTGAAAGTAAAGTGGGATAAGGCCCAAAAATCCGATTACA